CAGCGCGCCGGGGCCGTGGGCCACCGTGGGAACTAAGGCGATTACCTTCCTCGGGGTGGCACTCCGGAAGCCCGCTTGAGCCCATTATCAGGTTGCCGGCTTCGTCATGCCGCTCCAGGGTTCCGGGGGGACAGGTGGGGATGGCGGTGGTGGGCTCGGGGGTGGTGGTGGTCTGCGTAGTGGTTCGGACGGTGGTCGTTGGGCGCAGGGTAGTGGTCGTTGGGCGCAGGGTGGTGGTCGTTGGGCGCAGGGTGGAGGTCGTGCGGCGGGTGGTGGTCAGGGGCCGCGCTGTCGTCAGGCTGCGCCGAGGGGTGGTGGCGGGTCTCTGGGTTGTGGTGGGGGCACGGGTGGTGGTTTTGATGACCTCCAAGCCCACCAGGGGCTTCCCTCCGAGGCTCAAAATGGGCTTATCCTGGGCACTGGCCAGCGGTTTGCCGTGCCGCCCTTGCCCGAAGAGAGGGAGTCCATCCGGGCTCACGACGGGGGTCCCTCCCAGATCTAAGCGCAAATCAACAGAAGCTGGTCAGCAAGATGACACGACCCAAAGGAAGTGCAAAGCAAGTAGGAAAAAGTGTCTTCTCAAAGCTAATGGAGTCTTGTATTTTAATCAGCAAAAGGCAAAGAAATAGTTAAAAGCATATCGGCAGAGGTAACAATATCTGCAGCTATCCAGAAATTTCTGGGCTTACTGTATTGTCCATCACTCATATAAATTAATAAATATTTCATCGATACGCCCCATTACCCTAAAAAAAAACCTCGTAGTCTCTAGTAAGGACAGTAATTCTTCTTTCTCATTCCTACATCTAAGGAGAAAAAGTGTTACTCTGGACCAAGGGTGGCAAACTTTTTCTGGAAAAAGCCAGAGAGTAAATATTTTAAACTTTATCGACTAGAAAGTCTCTTCTGCAAATCACTCAACTCTTCTGCTGTAGGGCCAAAAAAAAAAAAAAACACACACACAGACAGTACACAAACGAGTGTTTCTGTGTTCCAATTAATCGTATTGTACGGACACCGAAATGCAAATTTCATATAATTTTCACATGTCAAAAAATTTTATTCTACTTTGTATTTTTTGGGGGGGGGGGCGGGGGAGATCCTTTAAAAATGTAAAAACTATTCTGAGCTCACAGTCCGTATGAAAACAGGCAGCAGACAGGGTTTGGCCTGCAGTCACAGTTTGCTGACTCCTACTTCAGATTGCCCAATGTCAAGGACAAAGTCAAGCGCCACCTTTTCTAGAGGGTAAAGTCTGTAGGAAGAGGTTAACTACAGTGGTGTCAGAGAAAAGCTAAGTTCTGCCTCTTATGAGGCACTTTTTCCCCACATGGCTAAAAATAACGGGACCAAGGGTACCCATTACAAATCAGGGGAGGAGAAAGAAAAGTCGTTATTTGACAGCTAAGCCAGCGCACTTTTTCGTTAAAAGCCATGCTCACTTACCCACAATGGTTTGACCATCTCCTCCTAGTTTGACCCGAAGAGGATTTCCATGCGAATCTTGCAGATACCTTCCTTCTGCATTCAGTACCAACCCACGGCCAAGATCCACGACCTAAATCCATGACATAGATTAAAGACTAAACTGGACATTTCAAAATGCTCACTTTAACCCAACTATGTGAATCCATGCATGAAGCTTCCACAGAAGGAAACTATAAAGTACTTAGGAAACATTATTTTTGTCAGTAAATATTCTTAAGGTTTAATAAAAATAAAATGCCAGTCTTATTTTATATTATATAATTGCCTACCCATATAATATGTAAATTGTTTTAAGTTCTTCAAAAATACAAAAAATATTCAAAATACTTTTATCATTGTGTATAATGCTGAAAAGTAAGAAACTACCTAAGCGCCCATCAATAGAGAAAAGAGATTAAATCCCTTATGGCCCATCCATGCAGTGGAATATTATGCAGCCAGTGAAAAGAATTTGGAAATTCTACATACATTGACATATCCTGATACGAACTCAGATGACAGGGCTGATTATTTTGCAAAAATAAAAATATATTCATTGATGTCTCAACTTAAAACTTCAGAGAAAAAAAATCTACAGATATATCCCAATCTGTTAACAGGGGTTATCTCCGAAAAGTGGTTTAGGATGCTTATTGTCTTTTTCATATATTTTTTGAATTGTTTTAACCTCTTGCGATGAACATGTATTGCTAGTATATTAAGAACATGTAATGTTCTTATTTTGCTTTTAATGTTAAAAGTCAAAATTGCTATAACAAAAATAACTAAATTTGTAATTAAGTTGCCCAATGTAACATGCATACGAAAAGTTTAGATTCTAAGGAATTATATAAAGGTATCATTATCTCTACTAAGGAACAAACTCATGCTCTAGATTGGTGCTTCTCAAAGTATGATCCCAGGCCAGCAGCCTCAGCATCACCTGGTCAGATATGTGGATTACTCGGCCCCACCCCAGACCATAATTGAAGAGCCCCCCAGTGATCTCGATGCTTGCTAATGTTAGAGAGCCATGGCTTTGCATGGGCAGGCCACTGGAGGGACCCCTGCAAGCAGCCACTTTGTTGGGTGCTGTCTCAGTAAGTAAAATAAAGCTTATTTATATAAACCCTACTTCTGAAATCTACCCATATAGTTCAATGCAAAATTGCTTACATGGCATGTAGTTTTAATATGCATTCTTCCCATTAGAAATTTCTGTTCCTTCAAGAAATTATAAAGTGTATTTTTAGATCGCCTGTGACTGAGCAGTGAACAAAGTCCATCATATGTTCTCTTAAACCTTATCGCTATAAATGGGAAGTTTTGGCTGGGAATTCCACTATGAATAATTTTTTGATTCTTTGAGCCTTGTACAATGTTCTGCCCATTACCCTCAAGCCACCCAAACTCCTTAAACATTTATCTTAAATCCAGGAAGCTAGAGTCATTTAGCTTAAACATACGAAAAGTACTAATACTTATTTTTTATTTGAGACGAACAACAATCATTGGAAGATTCAAACAGTGATTTGATAAAAATTGCCTATTCGATTCAGGATCTTGTTTGTTCACGTATTCTTATCTTGCTTCTTTTTACAAAGGGTTCGAGATCATTTACAGAAAATATGCGTACCATTTAAACGGTAAACAAAAAATAAAAATAAAATAAAGCTCTCAGGACTAGGAAGACAGACGTTCATTCGAGACGCCATTCATCAGGTTCTACGTCACTGTCACTGCTGTGTGTGGACCATACCTTTGTTTGAGTTTCCTAGCCAGTCAAGGCAAACAATAAATGAAGGCCTGTGCCTTATCTTATTAGCTATGAGGGAAAAAAAACAAGTTACTCAGGAGAATCAAGTTTGTTCTGATTGCTGGAAGAATTCTGTATAGTATAACATCGACATCTGAGTGATTAAAACTAGAATAGAAGAAAACAAGACCGACTCATTATTGCTACAGCGTCCACCGTTTGTCTCTTCCCCACAGCACGAAAATGACTGGGATGTGGAAAGAAGTTTACCCTACCCACTTTGTTCCTTGAGGGCCATTGATAATTCTTTGTGCACTCGGTTTCCCATTGCTGCCAGGAAGTACCTTCCCTTCTGCACTTGGTCTGCCATTATAACCTACACAGCACAGAAAAGAGAACCTGGTAAGTCCGACATTTCTGGAAAGTTGGCTGCCTGCCAATCTATAAATAGTAACACATCATTTCAAACAGAAACACTAACCAGAATTAAACCAATAGCTCCTATGTATTAGATAATGATAGTCTAAACTGTGACTTCTACGTGACAAATATGGATGTCAATCAAGAGTACGGTGAAGTCATAGTTTTCTGACAATACTGGGGTGAAGAGAGTGTTCAGCAGAAGTAAATCTTCCAGATAAAGCTTAAGACCTTAGTAGCTGTACTTGTACTTTAGTCAGTTAGAAGCTGGAGGAGGGGAGGGTTGGAAAGATGGAGAAAATGCTCTAAAATGTTCTAGCTGCTCTTTTCGCAGCAGGTTATACTACACACAACTCTTCCTAGAGGACCCAGGTCCCCACAGTCAGTCGCCAAGGATAAATGCACAGTACTGACTCGGCTTGTTAAGCGCTGTGGGGCTGCTCGAGAAGTGTCTGCTCAGGGAGGAAGTACCAGGTCCACTTCACTGCCCTGGCCATTGCTGTTTCTGCCTGGTCCTTTCTCCTGCCCTTCTGCTTCATCTCGTGCCATTTCTCAGCTACAGTCGGTACGGGCACAACCTCCCCGCCACCCCCACCGTGGGATAAAGTGCCTGGGCTTTCTGACAACTATTTGCATGTCAGAGACTTATTTCTCTTGCTCAGTTAATGAAAATTAAATATTTACTGAGTTTCTGCTACGTATAAGAGCATGTGAGTTTTAGATCTATTATTAGGGTCTTAGGTTTGCTTAAAATAGTCCATTTTAATGAAAAACTGACCTCAGTGTTGGGCATGCATTCTACGTCTTTACACTGGGCTGAACTAACAATACACTGCACAGATTAACAAACGCTCATTCAGGAATGTTCTATTAAGCCCTGATTCCGTGCAAGAAGAGTGCATGGCACCCCTTAACTGAATGCAGACTTAGGGGGAACACTTTAGGTCCTGCTGTGGGGTCCCCGTAGACTCCCGTTCGTAACTGTCTGTGTTCTCCGTGTAAATCACATATCTGCCTGTTACAGCTGTGTGACAACCATGTCTAACATGCATTTTCCGGAGGTTTGCAACAATCTC